AAATAATAAATAATAAATAATAAATAATAAATAATAAATAATAAATAATAAATAATAAATAAATTAAACAATGTATAAAAATATTAGAATATTACACTTTACACTATACAATATTCAATAATTGTTTTTTTTTTATAATAATAAGAAATTCAAAAATCGTTCAATTTATAATAATTCATGTTTTTTAAAATAATTAATAAGTAGTGTATTGTACATATGTATATTTATAACTCAATGTATAATATACTTTTAAATATTTGTGAATAAAAGATTATTCAAATTCATTTTTGTTTTATTATGCAAAGAAACTTATGAATATTGCTAATTAAAAAGGGACTGAACTTTAATTGATTCAACTTTGTTGCAAAAAAAAATAGCAAGTAAAAATAATTGATTCAAAATTGATTATTTATTTATTATTTATTTATTTATTTAAAACAACATCCCAATCAAGGCAAGTTCAAGTCGTTCTATATTTAACAAGCTAATTGTACGAACGAGTCGATTAAATGTGTCAAGTAATTGTGTCAGAGCTGCAATTATCGAAAGCCGTATTAAAAGTCTATTTAATAGAAATAGCTAAACTTGTCGTGACTTTGCAATGACTTGAATAAGTCAAGAACTCTAAAACTCGATGACAATGCGCGAATGCGAAAAAGAGTTTCAGTCCGATAGAATTTGTTGAGCTAATCAAGTCAAGTGACAATCAAGCAACAAAATTCGCCTCACTCGCGCGTTGCTTTCTCAGCCAAGTTCAAAGTCAAGAGCAAATCGACACCAACCTCGGCTAGCGCTGAGGGGCCAGTCCGCTTTATAAGTGAAGAAAAAAAACGAAAAAAAAAACGTTAATAGCGTAATTGATGTTTTTATTCCATTCACCTTTCAGCACCTGCATACGAAACCGTTGATCATCGAAAAAACCAAGTAAAACACGTTTCGCCTTATTTAAATTGGCCACTATTATGAGCCGGGATAAATGGAATACTGTTTTAATGGCTCAGAGGCAAACGGATTATTTGTACCTTTTTTTTGCGCACCTAGTACAGTGCGTATGCCACACGACAGTTTTATCAGGCCCAAGTGGACGTCTCGCATAATCAATAGAGATGTTGAGCTGATGACTGTGCTGAAATGCTAATTTCGTATGCTTAACGTTTGTGATATTTAATGGCTTGTGATAATCATTATGATTGCCATTATGATTATAATTATTATGTGTATCTTCATCATTACCATTTGAACTCTAATTAATAGCGTTGCTATCACTTTCTGGCGGTGCACAAGCATTTGAAACTTAGCTTAGCAAAAAACAAAAAATACAATAACAAAAAAATATTTTCCTTATGATCATCATACTAATTTTTAATTCATCATTATTATTAACCAACTCGACTAAAAAAATGTTTATTCATATTCATATAATTTTCTTTATGATTATATTCATTATCATTTTCATTATTATGATTTTCTTCAACCATATTCACTAACTTCATCATCATGAACATTATCGTATATATTCATATCGTTAGCATTGTCATATGTATTGTCATTGATGTTATTGGATTTATCATTATCTCCTTTATGATAAGCATCTTTTCATCTTTTAATCCACTTTTATTTTCAATATTATTACGAGATCCGTTATTACTTAAACTCTCATTACTTTTACAGTAATGTTTGGCTGCTATATTCATTACTTTATTCATTATTATTATTTTCTGTATTCTTATTTCAAGTATTCCGATGCCAGCCAGAGCTACCCTATCCTAATTGTTATGGGAAATATGTAACTAGCGGCCGACTCCAATCGAGTGCCAGTCACACGCGCATTCCAGTCCCCAATCCAGACGCCGATATGGAAATGAGTTAGCGAATTCTGCCTTCGGCCAGCTGATTCGCTCGGCCCCTCATCAAATATGCGCACATCGTTTGACTTACTCATTAGACGCATCGTAAAGTTTTCTAATTTCTAGACGTTTATTTATAAAAGCGTAAACGAATACTACAAACAAAAATGGTCGAGACGTATCACAGTCGATGTTAGTTATCTAATATAAAGGCTGGCAATTGTCGGACTAGATGACGAAGTCGGCCCGACTATTCTCTCTGGTGATCAGGTACGGACGCTGCTCGGTGGGGCAGTTGAACTTCTCGAACAGGTGCTCGCTGAAGCCGCTCTTCTCGCCCGGCATCTCCAGCATATTGTTCCAGATCGCATTGGCCGCCGAGGCCTGGCCCCGCTGGCTCAAGTGGAAGCAATCCTCGGAGAAGAACCGGGTGTCCGTAGTGCCAGAGGGCGTGCGCGGAAAGTCGTCGAATTGGGAGAAGGGCTGCACATTGATGGTGAATGTCTGCAAAGAGATGAGCGATGCTTAGAGTATTTCTCTGTAGATCCCTTGCGGACTCACTTCTGAATTGAACTCCGGCAAGTTGGCAATCTCGTAGTCCTTGGCTATCCAACGCTTCATGATGCCCTCTAGGTAATCCAAGTGCTTCTTGCTCTTGCCCACAAGGCACGGGCACTCAAAGGTCAATGTGGTCTGACAGATGGGCGGCAGTCCGGACAGCTCAGTCAGGAACCGTAGATTAGGAGCTGGCACTACATTCAGCATGAGCCGCGGCACATTGTCCCTTAGATAGCGATACGTCTTTAGCATGTTCTGCTCGTGCAGCTTAATCGTCAGCTCCGGCTGTGGGTGGAAGCAAATGTCGGCGCAAAAGTCATTGTTGCCTATGAACATGGTGACCAGCTTCCAGTCCCGGGTCATGTTCACGTGGGGATCGTTCCTCATGCGCTTCACCAGCACCTTGGCCATGTAGGGCATGTCGCGGGACATGGCGCCCAGCTCGGCCACATTGAAGCGCGAGGAGCGATCTGTGGAGAGGCCGTCCCTAAGCGAGTAGCCGTAGAGCTTGGGATTGAACTCCTTGAGTATGTTGGGCAATGTGAGATACTTTTTCCAATTGTATTGCCCGCCAATGGACCAGACCACGCCTCTATTCTCCACGGTCACGTGCCCCAGATTGGTGGCGAAGATGCCATTGCCCGCGGTCAGGGAGTCGCCCATGCCGCCAATGATGTCGATGTCGCCGGGTCGCAGCCGATGCACGCTCGTCGGCCGCTCAGCACTGCGTCTGCCGGGCCCCCGTTCCGTGTCGCAGAACTGGAGAAGGGCGCGCGTGCGCGGATTCGACTTTTGGGTTTTCTGAAAGACAAACACAATTGGAGGCTACCAAATGGCTAGTAACAGGCGCAGCAGGACAGGACTTACGCCGGCATTGCGCACGCGCTGCACGTTCGCCGGCTCGTCGCCGGATCGCCCGGTGAAGGCCAGGCTGAGCAAGCGCAGTGGCCGGTAGGCGTTCCTGAAGGCCACGTCCAATGACGTGCGCTGTGACGTCACACAGCCAATCAATCCCAGCAGCAGAACGAGTAGCAGAATAAATGACAGCTCCCGTGATGGCGCCTTGTCCATTTCGTCTTACAGCTGAAACAACATAAAGATTAATGGGTGTGTGTGTGTGTGTGTGTGTGTGTGTTAGTGAGGAGGGCTCGCAAAACTCTTGCTGTCGTTGGTGACGTCCTCGACACTGAACCAGTTCTGCGCATACATTGCGTTACAGAGACGTCGACGCTTTGCAAGTTTGTTCACCTTTCGTCGCTTGTTTTGATTTGCCTTTCGGTCGGAATAAACATTTATGCTTAGTCAGGTTTGTCTGGGCCGATTCTAGCATGCGGCATTAAGGCATCCGAAAATATTATGCAAATGTGATCTCAAAATCAGAAAAAAGTATAATGGAAATAAACGTTCCGCATATCTGAGAAGACGCTTCAACGGCTTCTTTAGAATAGATTCTCCAAATACTTCGCAGCTGGGATAATTATCCACAGAAGCGTAAAGTTCATTAGGTGTTGACCCTGAGGCGCCAGAATGTTTAATTTTAAGTTATTTTTAAAACACTAATCAGTTTTAACTGTCGTTTTATTTATGTTTTTAATATGCTTAGATTAAGCCTAATCAACAATTGTCACTCAACCAGCTCGATCTGTTCCGACGTTCGGCACGCTTTCGGCAGCGCGAAAGAACGATAAAATAAATCTATATTTTTTTTATAAGTTGGTAGGCGGAAGTCTTGGGCGATCGAACTGAATATGCGTGCTAAATCCAGTTGCGATCAAGATTCATGCAGACTTTGTTTTGTTTCCTTCTCGCATTATGCGCATATCTCAAACAAAAGACTTGGAACACAAACGCGGCGAATCAGATAAGAAACGGAAATGCAGCCGAACCACACTCAATTAGTCGGATTTAGTGAATATTTGAATAAAACAAGCACATAACACAACAGTATATTTATACCTTTAATTAAATGAAATTTAATCGAAATTGAAAATTCACTTTAGTTTGATTCACTCTTTGTTTCTCTTCGCGTAAATCTTGCAACCGAAAGAATTGCACAATTACATAAAAACTGATTCACTTCGATGTTGCGAATTTATAGCCCCAGAAGGCAGCGCGTCCGGCTCTGTTGACCGCATAGAATCGACTGCCCGGTAGAATTTCGGAATATGCTGATTTTATATGGATTGCCCGTGAAGCCGGACAGCGTTGTACGCATAGAACGAAATACGAAATAAAATACAGCAAAAAATAATGAAAAACATATATAAAGATCGTAGCTGTATACGAAACACGTAAAAAGAACAAAATACAATACAAATTAAGTGCGAATTTTCAGAATCGAGTATGCGCAACTCGCAAATACCCTGTGTACAATTGAGCAAAGCAGATATATTCTAAACATCTTCCTGCTAATTCAATATTATTTGCATGGAGCTTTGTAAACTGAGTTTATAAGAATTTGCAACCGGATCTAACTTAAAAATATTAAAATTATTCTAATAAATAATATTAAATAATTACCCAATTAAATTCTATTATAATTGTATAATTGCACTTCTACAAATGTTTAATTACAAACGCTAAGAAATATCAAAAAAATACAACCGGTTATAATAAAATGATTGATAATATATACCATTTGAGTCTTTCGTTAATTCGTTGATTAAATTGTAAAATAATAAATAAAATATAAGGTTTATATGTATTTAATATTTAAAAATCAGCCATATTTGATCTGTTGAGCCTTTCATACCCGTTAATAATTATGCTACGTGGCATACATCATTTTAAAACTTATTTTTGAAATTCCTCGTTAAATAAATTGTAAATTCTGTTAGCAATATTTTTGATATTTTTAAGTAAAAACTGAATAAATTTTATACATATTAAAAATAATGGCTTTTGAGCCTTAAACAGCCACTCGCAATCCAGGTACGCGGTATACATTATATCAAAATTGGCTATCTGATTTTCACACACTCACACTGGTGTACGAGATGTAGCTGAAGCGCTGAGCCGGTTATAGGTTCGTCTGAAAAAAGAACGTAAATTCTGAAATTCACTTTCGTCGAGATGTTAAAAATAGTTTTCTGCCAGAATCCAGACTCGTAAAGGCGCTTTGTAGGCATGACGAGACTAAAAATCTGCAAAGGGGCCTGCTAAGGAAAACGAGAGCAACAACTCATCCAGCGTTACGCTGGATTACTGGGGCATTCCCAATTGAAAGTTGGTCTTAAAATAGTTACTTGGAAATTAACGCTGGCCACATGTGTCGTACGTGCTCCGCTGGCTACTCTATAGAGATAGACATAAATTTCGCGAGCGGGACGGACAGATAGATGAGCATTAATTTAACAGTTTCTTCAATTGACATTTGTTGATTTTATCACTCACTGGAAACGCTATAAACATTGCTTAATCGCGTAAACCTTTGGACCATGTCGCAGTCAAGTGCTAACACATGGAACGATACTTATCAAAAAGGTCTGGATGGGGTTAAGTTGTCGCCTGCAATCATTTTGTTGCTTCTAACCGATGCCCCAACCCCAAGAAATTGAACATAGTATCATCACCAGCCCGCACCCTCGATATGACCAATGTTCCATCCTCCATCTTCCACCTTCCACTATCCACTATCCACCTTCCACTTCCTCGACAAACAATCCAGTGTCGCCATCGAATAACCTTGTGTTGCAAAATAATATATAATAATACATAAAATAACGGCACGAAGCAATTAAAGTAAAACAACAAAGAAGCAACAACTTGTTTTAAATGAACAACACCAGAAAACAAGAAGGAACCGCCTTAAATGACACGACGATGCTTGTGTGTGGCAACATCTTAAAGCCTGGTTGATGCTGATGATGTTGATGATGATGATGATAATGTTAATGTTGACGTCGTTAAGTACTATAAAAATCATTTAAGCCATTTATCGAAGCGCAGCTGTCAATTGGCTTAGACATAGACTTTCAATAAAGTCAGGCTGTTGTGACTCTCCAGGCGCGCTCTTTTAAACAACTCAACTTTTATGTAATCAACACAACTTAATTAGTCGAGCTCTTGGTTTGACACCTTACTAGCAGAATAAGATATAGGGTATATTGTTTATTGGGTATTGCACAGGCGATTCCATCTGATTACCATATATAAAAATGATTAGAGATTTACATTTATAAAAGAAAGTTATAAACTGGAAATCTTTTGCTTGCCTTATATCATTTATTCAGCTTTCAGGAATCCGTTACAACAAACATGAAGCTCAATTTTCAAAGCAAAACCAAAAGCTTTTGGATTGCTTTCATTCGTGCTTCATACGATAGCTACATGGAACACCACTGCTTGTCGTATCGATAGATCGATATCCTTAGTCTCGATTTTGCCTGTCGGCAAATGGGAGTTGTGACGTTATCTTTTATTGAAAAACCTGGCTCAAATTAAAACACTTCATAGCAAACTTGATTTAATAACACTCATTAGAGAGCAGGAAACTGCTGCAGCAGCCACATCAGCAAATTCACGTAACATTTCAAACAAATAAACGCTGAGGCCGGCGTACAAACAACAAACACAAAAGCAAAGACAACACAGACAAAAACACTTATTGACTGCCCACGGACAATGGGTGCTCTGAGATACATGGGCTGGATAACCGGTTGCTCGGTCTTCACGGCGCTTCTCTCAATCATTTGGCAGGCGTTTCTCACCCTGCAGGCGCTGAACAGAACAACTGTACTGCTTACCGGTCTCCTGGCCATCGAGGGTGGCCTCAAGAAATCCACCGATGAGCCGGCACCCAAAATAGCCGTAGGCTATGGCGCCTGCACGGATCTGCAAATAAATGCCACCGAATTTCTGGAGACTTTCTACAAAATGCGTGTGCCTGAGCTAAACACCGACTTTGCGGCGAAGAATGTGAACAATGAAAATGAGTTTCTTCAATCGTTTGCCTACTATTTTAAGAACGGGGCCGCAGCTGAGTAAGTGCATCCGTTATGTATAATCGGGTACATAATATTAAACACATCAACCTTATAGGCGCGTCATATCCAACAGCACGCTGTTCAATCAACTGATAACAAATGCCAAAATAATGGACAAAGAGCGCATTCAGTGGTATATGGGTGGCAACGCCCCATTGATGGCTGTGCGCTTTCTCATAGAGGGAGCGGATGTTCTTCTAGGCGCGCATATGTCGAAGAAGTAAGTGCTCAAACATGCATTCATCTTCAGCATGAAGTATTCCACATTGTATTGTTTTCAGATTGCGACCTCTGCTGCCCAAAGAGATTCGTCTGGCTGGCGATGAGATACCCAATGATGATATACATCTTATTCTAGAGTATAAGGCCGGTGATAAATGGGGTCCATATGAGGCACCACGCGCCAATCGGTATATATTGCATAACGACAAGAACAATCCGCATTTGAGAGCGGTGGAGCATCTGACGGACGCCTTAAAGAAATATAAGCCGCAACTTCTGGTGGTCAGCGGTCTGCAAATGATGGACATGTTCAAGTTCAGTCCAGGTGTGCGAGAGGCACGTTTGCGCCAGGTGCAATCGCAGCTGACCAGCCAGCCGCCAGGCACGTTGCAACATTTCGAGCTCGCCAGCTACGTGGAGCTGGAGCTGCTGCATCAGCTCCGGCAGTATGTGCTACCCTATGTGGACTCCTTGGGCATGAACGAACAGGAGTTGTCCAATCTGCGACAGGTGCTGGAGAATGGACGCACCACACTGGCCACCGACTGGAATCCACGCATTGCCAACACCCTGGACCAAATGCGTCAAGTGTTCATCCATCTTTTGGAGGATTACAACGTGCGGCACAAGTCCGATTCGCACAGACGTATGTTGTCCAGAATGCACGTGCACACCCTGGCCTACCAGGCCATCTTGACTGTTGCCAACTCGAGGTGGAAGAATACGAGGGCTGCAGCGGCAAAGGCTGCACTGACGGCTCATCGTTACGTCTGCAAATCCCAATTTGTAAGGGCAAAAGATTGTTAATTTTAACATTTTATTTCACCATGAAACTTGTTTATTCATAGATCAATCCAGAGGCAGTGACTCTTGTTTTGGACGACAGCTTCGCCACATCAGCTCAAGAGCAAGCGCCTCGAATGCGCATCAGCGCAGCCAATCCTGTGCCTTGCTGGCAGGAGTTTATACAGTATGGCGTGGAGCTACAAAAAATAGAAGTGGAGATATGCGTCGCGCCAGTGCTGATATGTCGAGTGGCCAAAAAGACAGCGGGAGCTGGAGATAATATATCTGCCTCCGGACTGGTGGTCCAATTGTGAGGTCCACAAAGCAACTAAAAAAACAAAAACAAAAAGGAATCATGAAATGTGAAGCAATAACGATGACAACGATCATGTTCGGGACCGGCAAGACTGCTTAGTATTTACACGAAATGCAAAAGACTCAACATACCCTCAAATTGAACCCTCGACAAAGCAACTAACCCAATCTCAAGAACATTCCCTGTTGAAAGCTGTTTATAGACGGCATGTTTAGCACCTTAGTGACCTTAGAAACGCGTTACCTTCAGTAAAATTCCGGACGCCGGCAAATCCTTAAGAATTGCGGAACGGAACCACGATAGAGTTGGCTTTTGGCCTTAGTACTACATATCTAGAAGATGAGATTGCGTATAACAGAACAAAAACTTGAAATTCAGCTGTTGAAGCACTCGAGTCTTAGTTAACATCTGTATCGAATCTCTGGATACACTCACTCACTCTTAATTATTTAATGTGTTCAAAATTATTCCTAAAATGCATAGCAATGCAACCTAGTCTAAGTTTATTAGTTTGTCGTCATATTATTTTTTTCGGTATTATATCAATGTGAACCATTCCTACTTACAATTTGTTTTGCGCACTTGGTTTTAGGCTAAAATGACAATGTATACATACATAAATACATGTATAATAAAAATTTCTGTTGAAATCTAATCCATAGAGTTTGATATTCCCATCAGTCTTTTTTCAAGCATAGACAAAAACTGTACTACAAGATATGCAACCTTTGGTTAACAGGGTATAAAACATTTCGAATACATTTCCTGTTTTCCTTAGGCGCGCAAAA